TACACACACACACACACACACACACACACACACACACACACACACACACACACACACACACACACACACACACTCACTCACTCACTCACACGCGCGCGCGCGCAGGGGGTGCGGATGTGGTTGTGTGCCAGTTTTCGAGCATCGGCAAGATGGGCAAGAACGGCCGCACAGCGCGCGGATGGCTCGGCGGCGAATTCATCACATCGCTGCAGACACACGCTGGCAGCAGCAGCAGCAGCAGCAGCAGCAGCAGCAGCAGCAGCAGCAGCAGTGGTAGCAGCAGTGGTGGTGGTGGTCGTCGACACTCGGCAGGAAAGGGGAAGAACGAATCACACGTGGCGGCGAAGGGCGCGTCAAAACTCCTCACGCCATCGTCAGCATCATCAGCATCATCGTCTTCATCATCATCGACAGCACGTGCAGCGGTATCATTCTGCTACCCGACAGTTGAGGATGTGCGCACGAGTTACGAGGGCTACGTAGGTGGTGGCTCACTTCCACACGCCATCAAGTCAGTCCGGGGTGTGTGTGCGAGGGTGCTTGAGTGTGTGTGTGTGTGGACACTGAGATGCGAATGCATGCATGCACATTCATTTACACACACACACATGTACACGCACACACACACACACACACACACACACACACACACACACACACTCTCTCTCTCTCTCTCTCTCTCGCATGCATGCATTCACAACAGGTATCGGGAGGACCATGTGTTCTTTGCAAAGGAGGCATGCAAGTGGCGGGCGGGTTGGTGCTACCGAACACGCGCCCTGCCGCACATCAAGACGTTCACGGCGTGGAACACCGCTGCCCGCTCCATCGATTGGATGCTGCTTGGATCCCACAACCTCTCAAAGGCGGCGTGGGGACAGCTCCAGGTCTGGCACCACACACATGATCGTGCTTTTTGTTGACATGCGCGCATGAGTGAAAAAATATCGCGATGCTTGCAGGCAAGCTTGCGGATGCTTGTGTATTGTGCACTCTCCCCGACATTGACACCTTCAGTTCCGCCCTCGACTCATGCTTTGACTGCTTGCAGAAACAAGAGAGCCAGCTGCACATTCTGAGCTACGAACTGGGCGTCTTTCTATCGCCGTCCTTGCTGGTGAACGGTGGTGATACTCGTGGTGGTGGTGGTGGTGATGGCGGTGGTGATGGCTCCACCGTTTTATGCTCGCATAATTTAAACTGCATCGGAGTTTCATCCATTTCACACACACACACACACACACACACACACACACACACACACACACACACACACACACACACACACACACACACACACACACACACACACACACACACACACACACATCAGGGCGCGACGCTGCGGCCGCTGGCGGATAAGCTCCGAAGTGTGCGGCGACCGGACAAGCACGACACGCAGACAGCGTGGGCGCCCGTTCCCTATGACTATCCGCTCACTCCTTATTCGACACATGGTGATGATGTGGTGGCGGTGCTGTTGATTATGTCACGTGCGCGTCTCCACCTTGAACTGGCTGCGCTTGGTTGTGCAAGTTTGTACGAGTTTGTGTACAATCAATCACGTGCCCACTCTACCGACACACACACACACACACACACACACACACATGCAGATGAGATGTGGTACTGGGATGGCGTGTACATGCAGCCAGACACACACGGACGCGTGCAGACACCATGATGCGTTGTACGATCACGTACGCATGGTTTGAACTGCATTGTTGTAATTTGGTTGAGGGACGCATGGTTTGGAAAGCATGAAACACAAGCTCGCTCGCAACATGGCGGACACGCAATGATAACAAAACAAACAGACAGACAGACAGCAGCGAAACAAGCGAAACATCACCACAACACATTCCCTTGGTAACAGGCGATGGGGCTCAGGGATGTGTGGTTATTGCAATCCCCCACTACAGTGCTGCTTCGCCTCAGATCTTGGCAGCGGCAGGCTTGTCCATGAACCAGGTGACGGAGTTCTTGGCCTGGACGCGAGCAGCGGGCAGCAGCGGCTCGCCTTCCTGTGGGTGGAAGATGGCGCGGAGCGTGTCGGCTTTGCCCTCGCCAGCGCAGACGAAGGCGACGTCCTTGGACGCCTCGAGCGCCTTGTACGTGAGCGTGATGCGCGAGGGCGGCGGCTTTGGGCTGTCCTTGATGCCGGCGACGAGGCGCTCCCGTTCATCCAGCAGCGTGTGGCCCGGAAAGAGGGAGCACGTGTGGCCGTCGGGGCCCATGCCCAGGAGCACGAGGTCGATGCTCGGGGTCTCGCCGTCGGAGCCGCCGAGCTGCTCCGTCAGCACCTTCTGGTATGCCTCTGCAGCGGCATCGCTGTCACCAATCAAGGCTGGGTCAATCGCAAACACGTTCTCCGCACCCACGTTCAACTGTGTGTGTGTGTGTAGGGGAGGGGGAATTGAGTTGTGGTGGAATGTGAGTGAAGTGTAGTCTTGGACCCTTGCGATTCTGCTGTCCATCCACCATGCACACAAACACGTAACACACACACGTAACACACACAAACACAAACCAACCAACCAACCAAACACACACACCAAATACACACAATACACACACCATACACTCACCTTTGAGAGGCAGTCGTTTTGAACGGCCTTGAAGTTGCTGTCGTCGTGGTCCAGTGCGACACAGCGCTCGTCGGCGAAGAACACCTTCCACTTTGTGGTGTCCGTCTTGATCTTGTCCACGCCAGAGGCCAGCAGCTTTGGCAGGCTCCCACCACTGAACGCCACGGAGAAGTAGCCGTGGTCCGCAATGCTGGCCTCGCTCTTGGCAGCCACATACACCGCCAGCGCATCTGCCAGCTCCGCCTTGCTCTCAAACACCTTGCGCTCCCCAGAAGCCATGTTCGCTCTGTGTGTGTGTGTGTGTGTGTGTGTGTGTGTGTGTGTGTGTGTGTGTGTGTGTGTGTGTGTGTGCGTGTGTGTATGTGTGTGTGTGTGTGTGTGTGTGTGTGTGTGTGTGTGTGTGTGTGTGTGTGTGTGTGTGTGTGTGTGTGTGTGTGTGCGCGCGCGCGTAAATTAATGTGAGATTGTGTGTGGCTTGTCTTCGTGTATCCGATCAGTGCACACCCGACTAAATTCAGTATTACACTGAATTCAGTTGTCACAAACGCACCACTTTGCTTCGCGTGCATGATGATGAGACCTTCTGTCCGTCACATCACGTCCATGTGTAGTGTTTGTTGCGCGTGTCGCGAGAGAAAACATAATAAGCCAAAACGGCTGGGCAAGATACAAGATACACGCGGTAGCAACACAGCAGGCTATGGAGACAACAGGGCAATGTCCGAACAACAACAACAACAACAGAAGCTACACGCGTGAGAGGCTAATATGCAACTCCAGACGCATCTACACGGGTTTTCTAGGAAGGACAGTGATACAAATCAAGCGTGCGAACGTGAGGGAGGGAGAGAGAGATTGAGACAAGCCATCGTCAACTCGAAAACCCATCCAACAGACACCTTGGTGCAAGGCAATGCAGAGAGAAACAAAAATTCAATCAACCGCCAGGCAAGCTGGATCCGCCAATCAGGAAAGCGCACGCACAACAAAGCAACACGTTGACGTCACGACAACTTCAGATGCAACAGCTACGAATACAGTCAGGAATGGTGAGGGAAAGGCGAAAGGGGGAGGGGGTAGGGGCAAGGGAAGCTGTAAGGCAAGGGGTCAAGACGTTCGAATAATCAATCACGCGGCAAGGGTGCACCGACGCATTCATGGAATACAAAACTGAATGCGGGCACGTGACACGGTCGGTGAAGGGGGGCTGGATTTCTTGAACGAACTGAAGGAGTAAGATGAGTAAAACGTGTGGGCGTCGCACGAGGCCATAAACGAATGAAAGAAGGCAAAAGAGCGAAGAAAACCCAATAAACGAAGGCAGATGGAAAGAAAGAAGCAAATGAAAGAAGGTACAAACCGAAAAAAAAAAAAGAACTGCGAACGACATGAACGAAGAGCAGCGCAACACAAAATATGCAGAGACGAGACGAGACACGAGAGGAGACTGCGCGGCCAGCCGCACGGCTGCTCACGAAGATGATGGTGTGGATGAGGGCGTCGCAGTCGTCGCTGCTGACGCACCTGCAGTGCTCACGTCCTGTGCGGGGCGCCCAAACGGAGGCAGCACGCTGCCGGCCTCGGGGCGGATGAGCGTTGGCTTGGCGACGCGCGGGAACATGCCGTTGGCGTGCGGCACATAATGCAGTGTGAGCGACGACTTGCTGTAAGGGTCCTTGCCCGGCTGCGCAGACATGGAAAACAGCGACAGCTTGGGTTTGCTGCTGCCTGGAATGTTGGCCCTCTTCTTCTTCTTCTTCAGCTTCTTCTTCTGCGCGCCTCTGCCGCCAGCTGCGGCCGTGCTGCTCGTCGTGCTGCCGCTGGCAACGCTGTCGGGCGCCGCAGGGACGTGCTGGGGTGCACCAGCAACCTTGGAAGACGACAAAGGCGCCGGCACCTCCCTTGTGGCATTCTGCTCCTGCTGCTTCTTCTTATTCTTCTGCTGCTGCTGATGAACCTTTCCTGCAACAGCAGGCGCCGTCACGGTGGTGGGCGGCGTGCGCTTGGCCTTCTTCGCCACGTTCTCACGGGCCAGCGCCTCCTCTTCCTCCTCTTCTTCTTCCTGCGCCTGCTGTCGGGCGAATGCGCGGGAGCGACTGGCTGCTGACACTTGCGGCCTCTGCTGCTGCAGATGTCCACCACTGCGCGCGTTGTCCCCGCCGTCCACAGAGGACGCAGCCGACGACGCCGACGACGATGATGATGACGACGATGACGACGCAGCACTGTCCGCGTCGCCATCTGCGGGACGCTGTGCGAGCTGGCGGGCCGAGCGTGCAGCTGCTGTGGTGACCTGCGCCGGGGAGGAAGTTGAGGCAGTGGTGGGGATGGTGGAAGCGTTGCCAACTGTCAGCCCACCAGGCGCAGGAACACCACCTGGAGGGGCGGTGTTTGGTGCACGTGCCTGCGCCTGCGCCCGCTGCTGCTGCTGCTGCTGCTGCTGGTAGTGGTGCTGAGCAAGGAGGCGAGCAATGGCCTGTTCTTGAGGCCCTGCCACCGATGGCTGCTGCTGGTGCTGCTGGAAGAGGAATGGCGATGCGGTGGTGTTGCTTGGGGCGGACGGCGCTGCGTTGGCAGGCAGCTGGGAGAGGCCCAAGCCGACGCCTGCGCCGGGCAGTGGCACCCCCATGCCCATGCCCATGCCCATGCCCAACGGCATGCCGCCAACACCAACGCCGCCAAAGCCGGGAATGGCGCGCTGCTGGCTCTGTGCAGCAGCCAGCATACCTGGCATCCCCGAAGCATGGGCCGGCAACGATCGCTGCTGGTGTTGTTGTTGCTGTTGTTGTTGCTGTTGCTGGTGTTGTGCCTGCGCAAAGGCGGAGACGGCCTGGGCCGGCCACCCAGTGCTGGACATGTACATGGCGGGGTTGAGGCCCATGGCGAGCACCTGCGCCTGCGCCTGCTGCTGTTGTTGCGGGTGAGCGAGTTGCTGTGTGTGGGGCTGCAGCATGGATTGGCGGGCGAGGGACTGCTGCATGAGATGGTACTGCAGTTGCATCTGCTGCTGTTGCATCTGCTGCAGCTGTTGTTGCTGTTGGTGCATGAGCCGCTGTTGCTCAAGCTGCTGGCGCTGCTGCTGCTGCTGCGCCTCGCGCTGCTCCTGTTGCTGCTGCAACAGCTGCGTGTGGGGGTTGTGGGCGGGCAGCGGCCGCACCTCTGCCGCCGACTGGCGAACAGAGTATGGGCGGCGGAACTGCGAGGGTAGCGGGATGGCGTCCATGAGGTCCTGCGAGACGGGCTTGATGTTGAGGAAGCGGTTGTTCTCCGTGAGCAGCTGGTTCTGCGTGTCCATGTACACGGTGCCGTCGCGGTCCAGCTGGCCGTACTCCAGGCCAAAGTGGTGGAACTCCTTCTGGTGCGCGGTGAGCTCGACCTTCTCCTTGAAGCTCTCACCGCAACCCTCGTGTGCGCAGATGTAGATGCGAAGCACCTCGTGCGACGTCAGATGGTAGTTGAGATGGTCTCGCCTGCGTTTGCAACAATTTGAGAGAGAGGGGGGGGGGAGGGGATGTGGTGGTGGTGGTGGTGTGTGTGTGGTGTGTGTTGTGGTGTGTGAGCAATTGCAGTTGGCGCATGCGTTGTGCAAATGGGACACAAAGAGGAACAAAGGGCGTGCGGGTGCGTCACATCACACACAGAAGCACACCCACGTACACAGAAACACTCGCACACCTCCACACACACACACGCACAGAAACACACAGAAGCACACCCACGTACACAGAAACACTCGCACACCTCCACACACACACACACACACACACACACACAAACACACACCTGTAGAATTGGCGGCTGCACTTGGAGCAGGTGTACCAGGAGGTGCGGGCCTTGTGGGATCGAATGTGCCTGCTGAGGTGTTCGCGGCGAGCATAGCTGCGACCGCAGAAGGAGCACGCGTATCGGCGCGAGGAGTCGCTGGATGTCTTGGTCGCGCTTTTCCCTGCAGCGGTTGTTGGTGGTGGCGTGGCATCCACGTCCTCCTCTTGCTTGTGCGGTGTTGGCGGGGATGGACGTGCGCCTGATCCCTGCTCTTGCTGCTCCTCCGCTGACAACGGCGGGGACTGCCTGTCATTGGCGGCGTTGTCGTTGTTTGGCATGATCACGGCAGGCGCCAGAGAAAGGGAGAGAGAAAGGGAAGGTAGAAAGGGAGAGAGAAAGGGAGGGTAGAAAGGGAGAGAGATGGAAGATGGGATGATACATAAAAGAAGGCAGAGAACCGCCAAGCAAAAGGGATATCAAATCAGAGAGAGAGAGAGAGAGAAAGTTCAACTCAGCTCAACTCTGCTTGTGCGTGATGAACAGGCGAGTGAATGAATGCTCCGTTGTCGTGTGCGGTGCCCTCCGATATTGAAGTTGTGCTGTGGTGAGAGCAGAAGAGAAAAAAAATGCGTGGTGCGAATCAAGGGGCAACCAACCACATCCAACACATTCAAGTCTGTGGGAGGCACGCGAGGAGGGAAACGGGGAGAGGGGGGTCGAAGTCAAGCAAATAAGGGCACAGGAACAAGGAAGAATCAAGAAGCAGGCGAAGCGGGCGAAGCAAGAGAAGCGAGCACGTCAGGAGGGAGGGAGGACGGACGGTGTTGGTTTCGTGTGTGTGTGTGGCGTTGTCTGATGCGGAATGATGGTGGTGCTTGTGAAATGAACGCGATTCTCGAAACCCGTGCCTCGCGTGGTGTGGGAGTTTTCTGTGGGAACTCACGCAAAGTAAAAGGTATGAGGGACACGATGGCGAGAAAGGACATGCACGCAAGAAACGCGGCGATGGGCCAATGGGGCTGGATCTGGCGCGGCGACCCCAACAACGCAGAACGACCGGAAGTGCACGTCTTTTGTAGGCCCACCCACGCTCAGAGAACTCTGAAGGCGTAAAAAGTCAAAGGCAAGGGAACACCGAGGCAAGGTGGGGCAGGAGCAAGCAGTGTATGTGAGAGAGAGAGACGCAAAGGTTGCGTCGTGAATGGAGGGTGGTGGCGCGTAGTTGCTTGGTTGGTGGTTGGCGGGACGGTTAGTCGAGTTTGGGTATTGTGTTTGTGCTCTTGAGTACTGTGAGTGTTTTGTGTGTGTGATGTAGGCTAGATGCTGGGACGTGTTGCGTTGTTCGGGGCAAGGGCCTTCAAAGTGCGCACCAACTTGTGTCAGCGACTTATGTGCGTATCGTAGCAAGTGGATGTTTATCAACCACACTAGGCCCATTTCTCAGAAATCGGGCGCATGGATGGCCCGACGATGGGGCAAAATTTCGCAACGTTTTACTCAACGGAGCACCGGAGACAAAAACACGTCACGGCAAAGAAATCGTTTGTCTGGCGTTTCAACCTCGCGGATCCGTTGAGCCCATCGCCACCTGAAGGTGCGGGAAGCCAGTCGCACACCGCCCTTGAGACGAAGCGCCCATCCCTGCAGCAAAGGCCGGTTTTGAAAGTTTTGAGGTGTTGCGGGGTTCGTTGTGTTGGGACATGAGACAAGATTGTGTGCTGAGAACACCGTTACGACAACATGCACGCACGCACGCACAAGGGCACCAACCCAGCTTGCTTTTACACGCAGCTTGCTTTGCAAGCGACACTGAAACCAGTTGACGCGCAGCACTGCACACATCTGACGCCAGCACTGCACACACGGACACATACACACCGCACACACACACACACACTGCACACACAAACATGCACACACACATGCACACACTGCACACACACACACATGCACACACACACACACACACACACACACACACATGCACACACGCTGCGCAATGCCCCCCCCCAAACACACACACACATACGCAACTGACCGAGATGGTAGGTTTTGTGAATGGAGCCCATGTTGGGCCGGTCGTGCGTCTTCCAGTGCTCGTTCCAGCCCTGCGTACCACGCCACCGCTTCACCTTCCGCTGCGTCCCTCGCACCGTCGCTGGGTTGAGCTTGTGGCCCTCAAACACAACTGGGCCCGTCCCACTCGGCAACATCGCCGAGAACGGCATGTTGATGTCATTGCCCGCCTTGCGCCACGACCCTCCTGCTTGCTGTTGCTGCTGCTGCTCACCATGCTCACCACCTTTACGTGGAGACGATGTGGCAGAGCCGGCTGCGCTCGCCTTGTCGGCGTCGTTGCCGCCATCACCCCCATTATCATCACCATCGCCACCACCGCGCCCGTGGCGCGCCCGGTCCTTGCCATCACCATCATCGCCATCATCGTCGTCCTTGCTGCGGGGCCGCGTGATTGGCGGCACAACCTCCGCCACAGGCTTTCCTTTCAGCACTTGCAGAATCGCATCGCGGTGCTGCCAATTGCGTGTGTGTGTGTGTGTGTGTGTGTGTGTGTGTGTGTGTGTGTGTGTGTGTGTGTGTGTGTGTGTGTGTGTGTGTGTGTGTGTGTGTGTGTGTGTGTGTGTGTGTGTGTGTGTGTGGT